GATTTTGTTCCGCTGCCCCTTAAGAGAAGAAAAATGTTAATTAAGAAAAAAGAACGTGCAGGAACCACTAAGAAAAGAAGGGAAAAAGAACCCAAAAACAAAGTGTTTTGCTTACTGTACACTAAGGAAATAAGACATAAAAGAGATCTTAGCAGTATATATCACGTCCTTCTAACGAGAGAACCGCCCGAGGTGAGGAATCGCTGTTTGATCGAAATCTAGTGGGTTATAGGTTATCGACCGTGTTGATTCCGAATATGACCATGGGGGTTGCCTATAGCCCTTTGAAGATCCGGTCTTCTGGAAAACCAGTTTTTCAGAAACTCCAGAAAATAATCCAAACCTTTCTTAACAATGTAGGATTGTAGCCCGCAAATTTGTGATTAAAACGAGACATCCCTCAGCTCTGCACGACCTTTCTTTGCAAGTTATAGAATTTATAACAAAAGCCCTAAATGTTCATTCTCAGCTCAAAGCTGCCGAAATAAGAAAAAATTAATTTATGCTTTTCTTGTAAACTCTATAACTTTGCAAAGAAAGGTCGTACAGAGCTGGGGGATGTCTCATTCTAATCAGAAATTTGCGGGCTACAATCCTTCATTGTTTAGAGAGGTTTGGATTATTTTCTGGAGCTTCTGAAAAACCAGTTTTTCAGAAGACCGGATCTTCAAAGATCTATAGGCAACTCCCATGGTCATATTCGGAATCAGCATGGTCGATAACATATAACCCACTAGATCTCGATCAAACAGCGATTCCTCATCTCGGGAGGTTCCCTCGTAAGTTCAAGAAAAATCTAGCACTGGCCGGATGCACGAAAAACCTTTTCCCTATGACGCCACTTAAAAAATTGGTGGGTATGCGAGTGAATAAAGTGTTCGACACGAATATGACTACTCTACTGAAACTTCATCCTTTTCGACAGTCCTATCGATCTACATCAAGCACGATGACCTTCATAAACTCACGTTGCGCCTAGATGTATAAACATGTAAAAGGTAGGTTTTTTTCGAGCGAAATAATTCGTGATTTTGGCTTCGCAACCTAATGAGGGTGGTGATGAGTGGTAGGTGTGTGAGTTTCGAGTTGTGTTCCTAGGAACGAAGAACGCATAGTACCCTGACGCAAAAAGTAAGTAGACGCCTGTCTAAACATCCTAGCGTGTTCGAAAATGCGTAAAACGCATTGTCAAGTATGTTCCCTGTTCCTTAGGAACGGGAACCCTGACACCTCTAGGAAGGAAAGGGAGGGTGCAGGTCGATGTTTACGTATGATTACAGGGGGGTCCAAAATGGCGGAAAATGTGTTTACGTAATTTCTGAACAAACCTCAACTGATATTCAAACTCATTTAATTAATGGGATATTACGTATTGATATAGCTAAAATTGTACGTGAAAATGACTTATTAAATGAAGATGAATTGAAAAAATTAATAAACCAATTAGTTACAAATTATCATCTTGTATCATCAACAATAGCAGGTTTAGGTAAAACGACATTTATCCAAAACCATGCACAAACATTAAAGCGACAACTGATTAAATTTCCTATTACGGGTGATTTTAGTGTTGATCAAATTGGTGAACGATTATTATCGATTAGTACGCCAAATGCAATTCATTTTGATATTGGTTCAATAGAAAATATCAATTTATTGAATTCAATTCTATTTTGTTTATGTTTATTTCGTAGTTACTGTTTTTCACAAATAATTATTTATTTACCAACAGATACATTATTTTATTTTGAATTAGAATCATCCCCATTTTTCACATTAAATCAAGGTATATACATATTTCGTTATTTAGATTTAACTATATTAACAAAATTTAATTTGAATGATCTCATAGACAAAGAAGCACGTTTACTTTATGTTACACGTTATTTATATGCTATTGAAAACAGAATAATTAAAGATAAAGAAATAACTGTTATTAATGAACAATTAATAACTAAAAGTATGTGCATTGACTTAATAAATAAATATTTTATTCAAAACAAAGATAAAAATTATTTATCATGGACACAGTTAAAAATATTTATTAATGTATTTTATCATTTGTTTAATGGATTTTCAAATTGTGGATATTTTCGTGTTGATGCATTACAAGAACCACAATTACGAATGGATATTATACAAACATTTCTTCATTCATCAAATCAATTTACATTAATATCAGTTAAATCAGTACGTGAAAAACAAGTGAATTTAGACAATGTTGAACAAATTGACGATCTTTTAAATAATTCGGTTATAAGGTGCGATAAAACACAACCGTTCACCGTTGTTTTCACTCATTCATATGATCCGTTATTCGTATACAAAACACCAAATGACGTTCCCAAATCTCTCCTACTATATTTTAATACGCTATCAAAAAAAAGTAATCGATGGTTGTCAAATACAACAAATGATATATTTACTGATTATAATAAACTAAATCATTTGGAGCTTTTCTTTAAATTAGTTTCATTACCGATCAAATATTGGAATAAGGCAATATGTACAGAATGCTTTAGGCAGTATCCATATGACAGCAATACATGCACTGAATGCAAAGTGTCATTAACGAAACCAAAATCGTTTAATACCGATCACATAAAACAATTTCAAACACAAATAGGTCAATTACTTGAACAAGAATATGTAATAACACCGGATAATTATATCAAAATGTTGTTAGTATGGTTGAGAATTAGTAGTACTTTACCTGTTATTATTATGGGTGAAACCCAGGTAAATTTAAAACAAATATTATAAACTTATCCTTAAATCTCTACTAGAGTCCTGCGGGACAAGCTTTTCCGTGCCCCGAATCCTTTTTGTCCCATGTCGAAAGTTTTTGAATAGTTCAGAATCCTGATTGTTTCGTCCGGAACTTTTTCAGAAAATCCTCTCCCGTCCCGTTTGCCCCGTTTCTCCTGGTTCGAAAGAAAAGAATCAGGATGCTACTGTACTATCGAGTGTTTCATAAGAAAGTCAGCCTCTTCGTATTTTGACTTGGAGTCTTTTTCTTTTCGACACTCCGACTCAGACTCTCGCAAAAGATGCGCCGTGAAATTGTTAATGAGATGGTATGCTTTCTTTTATCTTACGAGGGAACCACCCGAGGTTATAGATCGATTTCGGATCGGGACTATTTTTGTCAGAAAGGCCGTAACGAGTAGTGAAATACCCCAACTTGGTTCATCCCCATGGTGCTTTGTTGCTGAGATACTGAATTTTTAGTCAGTTTTTGCCCGTAGAGCTTGGATTTCGAGCAAAATTCGACTTTCGAATTTTGATTTCAAACTTGCCACACTTGTAGCCCATGGTCATAGTACTACGACGGAAAAATATTCGGTGCTAATGAATTTTCCCGCCTTGAGATATTGAGACTTATTTTTGTCTCAAAATTTGACCCTTATCCTTACCTTCTGGTGAAATGTTCGAGTCTCAATATCTCAAGGCGGGAAAATTCATTAGCACCGAATATTTTTTCGTCGTAGTACTATGACCATGGGCTACAAGTGTGGCAAGTTTGAAATCAAAATTCGA